TAAAAAATATTAGTACATTTAATTGACACTAATAGAATGTAAACAGTATTAAACAGTATGTAATAGATATTTTTGACATAATGCATAATGCCCATCCAAGGCTTTAATTATAATGAGTGAACAGGTGAAAGTCAAATAAGTTTAAATCTTGCCATAATTCCTTTCAATTTTTATAATGATTATGTACTTTCCATTTATGAACGATAAATCAATGCCATTGGAAATTACCCAAAATGTTCAATTTATAAAAGTTTGGGACAGTCTTTTTATATTTTATGCATACTTATATTTTATCCTTAACATTTTAAAATATCAGCTGTAGGTCAATAACCTTTTTTTCAGTCAATTATTTGAAACATGAAGTCAATTCAGCATAACTTGACCATGACAAAATAGGCACAATGTCATTTTAATATCATAACCATGTTTATTTTGAAATTTAATAGGGTGTACTTTTCACAATAAAATATTGTTTCATCACGGAAATTAAAGTAAGACGATTTATATTAACTTTTTAAATATCAAACCTCACATTCTCTATATAGTTTACATAAAAATTGGTCTTGCAATTCAACCAAAGTTGAGTATTATACTAAAGCCAAGAGAAATTGTCTTGAATGATTTTCCTTTGAACAACATTCAACAAAGAAAAGTTAAAGTTGAATGCATGATTTTGTGTAAATATTATCAACAGTGTTTAACACTAAAATTTAAGAAGCGTGTTCACTTTTATCACTAGCTTAGGGAATGAGTACCTATCATATAGCATGAGATTATAAGAAATCCTAAAGAAATGGAAAAACGTTTAACCTCTAAATTTAAAACTTCTACCCTCTAAAATAAAAGTTTTAAGTTTAATTATGAGTAGATCTAGTGTCAAAACTATAAGAAAAAATAAAAAGTAAATGATATACTTTCAAATTTAAAGTTTTATATTTGGATGGTGTTCACTATGACTAAATCATCAAAAGAGGTTCACAATCATTTAATAAATTAGCTATCCATTTATTATATTAAAATATTTATCTTTTTATGTTGTGTAAAGTAAATAAAAGGTGCAATGGAAAATAAATTTTACAATGAAAAGTGAACTACAACTTGTCAACTCAAAATTGCAATAAATTGTGTGACAAATATAATTTGTTATAAATCTGTACTGTAATGTAGCCTACACCATGAATTATAGTTTAGTTTAAGTAGTTTATTCTTTTATTCCATAAGGCAATATGCCCATGATGGCATTACAAGCATGTTATAAATTATAAACAACATAGTCTAATTAAAATTATTATTATTATTAATTTATTATTATTAATAATTTATTTTTATTATTATTATAATTATGAATTCATGATTGTCTTATTATTATCATTAGATCACATCATCATCATCATTATTATTATTATTACTATTATCAATTCATTATTATTATTACTTATTTATTATTATTATTATCATCATCATTAATAATTTATTATTATTAATACATTTGTATTATCAATTCATTATTATTACTATTAATTTATTGTTATTATTTTATTTTTATATAATGTTTATTAATTTACTATAATTATTATTATCTAATATCTTACTCATGTGACTGATGTTGCATTGAAGTCTGCATCTTTTAATTATTTGTTCATTATTAATTTATCAATTTCTATTTAATGTGATTTTAACCCCTTCTATCCAACATAATTTGCTTATTATGCATACTTAATTTTACCATGAAAACAATAGGCCCTAAAATAAGGCAATGTATTCACATCTATGATAACAAATACTGAAATATAACTGAATAATTAATTTGTTCAACTTGTAGATCTAAACCTAGGTTTCACATTGTAAAAATAATGTATAAAATAAACATTTTAAACAGGAAATACCTCACCTAATACTGTAAAGGAACTAAACTACTAGCTCTACTAACATCAGTCACCAATTTATCTCATACAACAATTCATCAAATGTCAGGAGTCCTCACAAGACGCTGCTGATCACCATGCATTTATTTCCACATTTCCCATACAGACCAGTAGTGTATTGTCTTTAATCACATTCTTCCAATCTCGTCCAGCAAAAAAAAAAATTATAGATCTATTAATTTTGAAGATTTAAAAGCAAATAAAATATATTTTAAAACTGATTAGCTAATAATAACTGATTTATTATGAACCTGTTAGATTAATAGACACATTTTTTCCTAATTCAGGACAATTAGCACAAGTTAACAAATATTTCTTGCTTCCACCATTCTTAACGCCATTGAAAATAGCAGTGCACCTACTGACCTAGCTAGATCATCGTATAATTTATGTAGATCTATCATATTTTTTTAAAGGTTTTCATTACAATCATCATCGTTACCATCAGTTACTAATACACCGCGAATGATTTAACATTATAGCGAAATACAGACATAGCTAAATGAATAGCCGTGGGTGAGAGTAGATCCATGGATCGTCATAGTAAAATTGTCAATTTACGACAGCAGTCAGCATAAAGCTAGACAAAGTACAATTCACAAAACAATGAATATAAATAATTTAAATTTAAACTGTTCTCGACAACAATCTGTTGAAGATCTAAATCTGAAATTGAATAAGAAAACTTCTCTGTCCATATAATATCCTACTAGATTCAGTGTTCCATGTTCCCACCAAAGACATCAAGAACAAATCCGCTTCAATCGTGGAAAATATCAACAAAATTGCTGCTTATAGGGCACACAGAAAATCACCGACGTCTTATCGATTCATATCTAGAAGATATTACTATCGATTGCTGTTTTGATCAGCGATTTTTTCCATTTTTTTCAACAACTCATTTCTTCCTTGTTACAATATTCGACGCCAGCGTTAAAAGGATATGACGTAGATACAGTACCTACGTCATAACCAGGGCAGGGTATAAGTTGTTCCCCAAATAACAGAGACTATTCTATAGAAATAGTCATCATTGTTTTCACATCTTTTTTTATTTTCCTTCTATGAAATGCATTGCAAATGTGAATTTAAACGTTTTTCGATTTCATGCGAAAATAAAAATGAATTTCATTTAGTTAAGTAATATTGATCTTTATCTTATTTGCATAGGATTAGACTTGAAATGATTTCAGTTTATTACATATTCAATAAACTTGTTTTCACAGGGGCACTTTATACAAATAGGGTTTGGTGAAATAAATATTCTCAGATTGAGGAAGAGATGAAATGATTATGAAAGTTTATTGCAAACCAACATGTGTTAGAAATGCTGATATACATGATTGCATGCTGTGATCAATATATTTATAAAAAAAATTACATCAATAGTTGATGCAGCTGATATTTTCATATTTTTACAACTTAACACAACCTTTGATGTTTTATCATTATTATAATTATCATTCTTAAAATAAGATGCTCTTTCCGTCTATCAAAGTATTGAGGATACATGCCGCCGCTGTGTGAATTCACCCATATATAACAGTGTGTGTTTTCTTTAGAATACATTTTATTTTTTACTAAGTGTTATGATTTATACATTTAAACAAATAGATATATTTCATCTATTTTACTCCGTAAAGGTTTTTTTATATTCAATTTACTGACTATTTAACTCGGTAAAAATTTCAATCTGCCAGTTTGATTAATGTTTGTCGTTGTGAATCTATTAACATCGGCGTTGGAATTGTAAGTCTGAAACTTTCTTTCAATGTGTTCTACCAAATTTGATTGGATTATTGATTTTGGAACTTTTGATACGTGAATAAGTTTGACCAAATAAAAGATTCGTATATTTCAATTTCATTTAGTGAAGAAATTATTTATTACTTTTTTATTTTCCCATCATATTAATTTGATTATTCTTGTGAACAACCTTGTACATAAAGGGTGTCTTGTCTCCTCGTGTATCTGTGTTTATTCGGTGAAATTAAATGGGGATCTTTTGTCACGACAATGTAATAAAACTTTCACAAAAATGAATAAGGAACATATGATCTTGATCGTTCTGAAGACTTATTAACCGTATAACTCAAATATTTGATTTCATTCAAATTTATCTTTCTTTTGATATCTATAAAATGAAATTTAGTATCAGTTTTATAGATATAGAACATAAAGGGCGGATCTGACAAGTCAAATAGTGTAATTGAAATTTGATAAGATCAACTAAAGCAGAAACTATCTAAAAGTTCTTTGATAAAACTTAACCCCAAAAGCAACTATACACATAAAGTTATTTTGATTGGATAATTTTGTATCCCTTCAATTTTTAACATTTAAGATCAAGTTAGCATCTTATGACTAAGTAATAAAAATGAAAAAGTAATTAAAATGTGCCTACAATACATTTTGTTCATTCTGTGTTTTAAAATTCTGGAACGGCAGGTCCCACTAGAGCAATGAAAACAAAAACAAGTAATTGACAAAAGATATAATGAAAAGTGCAATGTCCCTCACGTTCCTTAGCACCATATTTCACCCTCGACACTAACATTAAACTCAGAGACCAGGAAGAACCAGAAAAACATAATAACACTTTGGGTTGATTCATTGATCTTTTTGGTAAAACTTATTAAAGATACACTTGTGCAATTGTTGATTGACTTATTCAAGTAAACTGGGTTGGAATGATAATTACCTACAATAAGTTGATGAATATGCTTAGTTTTAAGTGTTTTAAGTATATCCTTTTACAAGGAAGTGTCAGTCATTAGGGTGTAACAATACACTGAAAGACTTATTTAACTTTTTCACTTGTCTATAAATTTATCTTCAATAAATGATGTATATACAAAAGTATGTTGTTGTGTTTTTGTTTGTGTTTTTTTTCTCTCAAGTATTACATTTGTATACGATTTACATTTTACGTGCGATAATTATAATCTAAAACATACAACTTTTTGTGTTCCTGGTGAGATAATGATGTAAGGATTTTTGGGGCCTTATTGTTGTATGGAAATTCTAACTTGGCACCATTCATAAATGTCATAAAAGGAAACTGTTTAAGTTGTACTAAATTTAATTATATAATTCTAATATTATACGATCAAATATCATGTATTACAAATAAATACACTATGTAAACATGTATATCAAACATGCGTAGATGCAAGACATATATAAAACGTACGTAAATAAATACGATACTTAAATCAAGTTAAATTTCTGAACACAAATATACACATAAACAGAAAAAAATCAAATAAATATTGAATTCCCTTCAACTACCGTGATTTTTACAAATTCAAAATTGTTATCTAATGCATAAAACCTTTTAAACCAAAATAAATCCTCGAGATTTATTTAAAATCTCAGGAAGATTGATTTATCAGTCAGTTTGTTTATTCAAGCTATTTGCAGCACTCTTAGCTAACTTATAATTTCCGGATCTCTTTCTAAATGTGAAAACCTGAAGTTCAACTACTTTTTCTCACTTTATTTTATATAAAACGATTGTTGTTTGTATCTGTAAGCACGAGTTTAAAGTAAACACTCTAATCTAAAAATTTAATATATCTCTATACTTGTTTGAAAACAAAAATGCGCACAGAAAATTCTTGAAGGAAGAGATCCGTTGTGAGCAATTTAAACAAAAATTGCAGACTCGGCTTGTCGAAAGAACATGGAAGGTGAAATATCTCTGATGAGCCCTAGCACCCGCCTAAACAGTATTCAGTCTTCAGCATTAACAATTTAAAAAGACGACTTTGCTGTTATTCCTTAGTAAGTGATATTCTGTAACTTATTTAGAGGCTTGTTGAGGTCTAGCTGGCTTCAAACTTAGGTAGCTTATATGTTGTTTACCAAAACATGGACACATATTCTGCGGTTTTTATTTCTGCGGTGCTGAAACTGACCACAGAAAAAATAAAGTTACCGCAGAAAAAACACTTATACGGTATATTCTTCTAACATACGAAAAGTCATGTAGGTAATTTAAGAGTATTGTTTTCTGAAACAGAGTTTTGTAAACTGTCCAAGAAAGGGAGAATACTTGGTGTGCGTAAAGATTGACTAGATATGGTTCCATTAGCTACTTGCCATGCGTAACTTTTTTTCCCACTTGAATTCATACTTTCTGGGTCAAGGCGTTTTATAGTTTCGTCAACTGTTTTGTTTTGTATGGAGTTGAGATTGATATATGATGTTGGTAGAACACTGGTAAGCGACTCGTAACTAGCTGAAACAACTTGTGCAATCTTTGCAGGTCTTTCTGGCAAACCGTTTTTAGATTTTGCAGAACCTGAACTAGGTCTTGACTTAGTAATCCTGAACGATGTTGGTTGAAGCCTTGTTCTGTTAGTAAGAGATGTTGAGTTGTTTAAGGAAACTGCACCATTTACGTCTATCACATTTGGTTTAATATCATTTTTGTACGTAAGTTTTGCACCAGATGCCGAACTATCCTGATTTTTACTCACTGGTTCAACAGTTGCACGTATTTCAAGCAATCGAGATCTATTTCTTTTGCTTTTGTGTGGCTTTATCACATCTCCTTTAATTGCATTTGTTTTACTTTTCTTGTTCTTTATCTGTTTCGATTTATTAATTGCACTTATTTCATTTTTCGATTGTTTAGGGGTTTCTTTTTTCTCATTCTTTGTTGGTTTTAAACGTTGTTTCTTTTTTGAAGTTGCTTGATTTGAACCTAAATCCAAATTGTTTGTTCTTGAACTTTCGTTTACTTTTTTAACGTTACTACGTAAATCAGGAAATTTACGTCTATGTACCTGTTTTACCGCAAGTAATTTCGCGAAAGGTTTTGGTTTTACAGTTTTATCCTTTTTTGATTTGTGTTTACTATCTTTATCCTCATCACTTTCATCATCATCATCATCATCGTCATCTCCATCGTCCTCGTCATCGTCTTCCTGTTCGTCATCATCATCGTTGTCATCGTCATCATCTTCTTCATCATCACTGTCATCGTCACTGTCACCGTAGTCGGAACTTTCGGAATCACTTTTTAACCCAAGCATTTCTCTATTAGGTATAACATATATCAAAACAAGACTATCGCCTGGTTTAAACCTAACTCTTTTCTTGCTTTTCTTTGATTTAACTATTGCGGTGGACCGATGCTTTTTCACACTAAACGCAAGGGAGCGATACGAAGTTGTGTCACTTGCATCATCTCGATCATGTTCGCTGCTTTCATCATCTGAAGATTCTGAATAATCTGATGACGTCACTGTTTCATCTTCGCTTTCAGAATCCTGCGTTTTGGTAGACATTTTCGTCATTTGAATAAACCTTGTTTTTTTAGAAAAGTATTTTTGTAGTTCTAAAAGTTTCAGTTCATGATTACTTTTAATAAAGTCCTTATTGCAGCTCCTCTATAAAAACAGTCCCTTGCATTTTCTTACTTATTGACCAGATCTGGAATAGAAATCATATGTTTTGTTAAGTACATTTTTACATCATCAACTGCAAATCGAAATTACGAATTAAAACCATAATATCAACAGATTCTATTACCATCCTATGATAAGAATATCAATCTGTTTTCTCATATTTGTTATGTCATACATCATACGCTCGTTAATCAAGCATTTATAATTGTCTGCTCAGGAGGGTATTGCAATATTCTTATAGAAAGCTCTTAGACTTTGTCACGATAATATTGATTGCAGTGGTCAACTTGTGATGTCAATCTCCGCTACATTAATATTTTGTCCAAGAATTGTTCAAACATATCAATAATTCATTTGTTGTGTTTACTAAAACTTGTTGACATTGAGGAGAAGAATGTAGTCCAAGTTGCTAGTGAACCTTGTTACACGAGTGTAATGACGTTAATTTGAGCCGTGTCACGACAAAACCAACATAATGGGTTTGCGACCAGCATGGATCCAGACCAGCCTGCGCATCCGCGCAGTCTGATCAGGATCCATACTGTTCGCTATCAGTGTCTCTACTTGTTATAGGGTTTGTAAGCGAACAGCATGGATCCTGATCAGACTGCGCGGATGCGCAGGCTGGTCTGGATCCATGCTGGTCGCAAACCCATTATGTTGGTTTTGTCGTGTCGCGGCTCATTTGTCAAACTGAATACTGGTTCTCTAAGATATTTTAACAAGGGTGCTGTGTCACCGTAACACAAATCAAATGATTCATTTTATGTCATAACCGTATGAATGTCTGAAAATATTATAGAAAAAAAAAAGATTTTAAATGTTCATCGCAGACATTAATACATGTAGAACATAGAAATCTATATAAACATTGCAACAATTTTATGATTTCTTGTCATGAAATAGATTATTTCTGAATTTAAGCATTTAAACTACGCGTTATGTGTTCGTTTCCTTTTTGCCTTTGGTTGTCTAAAATGTTATTGACATAATGGCAAAAAACTCTAAAATAAAACTAAGTATGGCCCAAAACATTAAAAATTCTTATAGCCACAGCATTTATTGTTACGGAAAATGTATTTTTATAATGCAAATCATATAATAGATAAAGAAAATATCCAGACATATTTCAATGGAAAGTAGTCTGTTATACTAATTTTGTGTATAGTAATATAATATGCTTAGTATGAAGACCGTTTAAGATAGTCCATTCATTAACGTTCCTAAAATTAGCTATTGTGAAATAGAAACAAAATTAGTTGGTATATTTGAAGACTAGTAAATGTGCCAAATTTCACACTGCATTAAGGGTATCAATTACAACTGGTTTACAAAAGACAGCCCGTAAAAACAAAACGTTTAGGACATGTTATATACTATATACGAAATGAATGCCAAGCACTTTGGTCTGTATAGCGTTAAATTAGAGCGTTGATAAAATACCGTTTATAATTGAAATTCTAAATACAGGCAGTCCCATAATAGATAAGAATTAATATGTTAATAAATGTGTAAATACCCCATAAACGTCTACATATTAGATAACATGTGATAAATGGCAACTTGCAAGATTATATTATAAGATTACTATAATTGTGTCACAGTCTTTTATCTGTGCTTATTTTTTTCATCAATACGGAAGAAATTTTTACCAATCATTCAATCAATTAAATTACTTAAGTATTAATATAAAAGAAACGAAGGTCTAGAACTTTACTAGTTGTTCATTAAAACGATCGTCAGAAATGCAAAGAAAATAAGTATTTATACCTTTGATGATAAAAAATAGACAAATTAGGTATATTAGAACCTTATAAAGCTCAATATTGGGTTTACAGTAATAGCATTGCGTATATACATACATGTATTAACCGCGTAATATAAGTATTGGTTTTAATAAACAACAAAACCACAATAGGATATCAAATATCGAAAAATTCACATATCGAATCTACAAACAAATTTATGACAATAAATGCATTGTATAAAATAAGTGTAGGACAATTCACTAAATACTAATTTATTATATTAAATCGGCTTAAAAAGACTATTTAAGTTGAGCTAAGCATAATCACTTGTATAAAGTGTCCAAAAGATAACGGTCAATTTTTAAAGTGTCCAAAAGATAACGGTCAGTTGTTTAAACATTTAGCCTCCGTTGCCTTGTAACCGGATTAATTTATAGTTTATATATTCTATGGATCAAAGGATTCACACGATGACCTTTAACTTAACATCTATGAATACTTACAAATAAATACAAATAATCACACAGCGTATCTTTTAGTCACAGTGTGTAATAATAGAGCAATAAAAAGCAATTCTACAAATTAATTAATTTCAATTAAAAAGTTGTTTTCAACATAAGAAATGAAAATTCCACTTTTTTACATTAAGAATGGCAACAGAACATAATCTTGAAATTTACCTTTAGAATTCCACGTAAAGTCTCATTTTAAGCTATCTGAGGTCCCCTTCTAAAACTACTATTTTTAACAAACTTTAATACTTTATTCATCTTTTTTCATTCGTGCAAAAATCAAATCTGCTAAATCTTCATCTGCTCATCAATTAATTCCGTATAGAAGTAGGTCGGTACATACCATAAATCTGTCAAAGGATAATGCTAATTAAAATTCCAAATAGCTTTATAACCTATTAATCCCATTTCTAATGAATCAATTTCACATTTTTTTGTTAATGGTGTCAAAATAAAACTAAGTTCTCATGCAAGATAAAGGTATGGAAATAAAGACATTCAATATTCAAAATGATTTTCACTCGGCTAGATCTTTGACTTTATTGTATCAAGCGGGGCACATTACAGATATTGATTAGTTGACATATACCACCCCCTTGAAGATATTTACATTTACGCTCTGTATTGGTTTAAAATGTTTAAAAATATCTTGTAAAGAGATTTATTCTGGCGTTACAGTTTAAATGGACAAAATTATCGGGTTAGTTGAAAAAATATTCAAAACAGCTAACTTCTACATATTGATGTATTGATATATTTCTTGGTCACTAAATCAATATGACCAATGTATTGTTGATGAATAAAATAAATCTGTCCGAAGTTTTGTAACATATCAATATTACCTTGTAATATTTCCATTAAACATTATTATGTAAATTTATTGCAGTCTTTATTTCAGGCATAAACGTTAAAATGAAAATGACTTTTTTATGAAATGTTCAAAGCGACCTATAACATTTTTTTCACGTATTAACAAATGTTATCACAATATTTTTCTATTTAAGAACATTTCTCCAATCATTTCATTTTGTGGTATCTTTTAAGTGTCTAACATATTTACATTAAGTAACTGTTATTTTAGGCTATGTACCTGCTGTTCTACTGTCAGATTAATAAAAGTTCTGCATCATCAATCTTTTTCTTTTATAAAGCACGTTCAATTTTCTCAGCCAGTTCAAATATGTGCTTCACCTGGGTTACTGATAACCCAGGCTTTACGTTCTATCAAAAACGTTTTGATTCCGTGTAATAGGATCTAATTTTGATTAATAATTCGATTATACCTTTTAAGTTTCAATTTAATTTAGATTAATGGTAATGAAAGTTATAGTATATTTGAACGACTTTAGAGTCCGCTTCCAGGAACTTACAAATACCGACTATATATAATGAAACCTGGTTGTGGCTTAAGTATTCAACTATGATGTCTGGCAGACACATAGGCCATTAAATTCCTCCTCGTTGTAAATATGCTTTCGCTTGAGCATCATTTGACTGTGGGCGAACTTGCCATACATAAGAAAGTTGATGACATTAAAGTTTTGCTAAACCAATTTGTGTCGTATCCAACAAAATCAACAATATTCTTTTGAAAGATATTTTAAGCATATTTGATTTGATTTTAGCCTGATTAAATATCATCTTAGGAATATTGAAGTATTAATTGAAATATTTGATGACTTAAGTCCATGTCCATGTTTGTTGTCATAGCGTCAGAGGATTTATTAGGTTTGTCAATAGCAAACTTTTATCGGCAAATAAGTTTTGCATGTCGTATGAAAGATTTATTTTGTCAGCTTGTATAATCTATTGACATGTTGTAAAGTTTACCTAAACTCTTAACGCCATGTCCAAAGTGGTATTTATATATAGACTTCAAACATTTGAATAGAGTGAAAAGAGCCTTACATATCGAAATATAGAATTCAATTGTGAAAAATATATCATCAAAATAAGTTATACTTAAAGTGGAAACAGTTTATACAGTTTATACAAATATAAGTTTAAAATTACATGTATTAAAAACCACTTTCGTATGATTGTTATCATACATAATTGGAATAGCAGTATATTCCTAAACACTTTATTCATAAACACTTTATTCCTAAATCATCATTTATTTAAGAAATATCGTTCTGAGCGTTGTGTATAACGTCTATTTTACACCGGGTAGGAATTTTGATGTGTAGGAATTGACCACAAGGATCGTAGACCGAAGCGTAGAACGGAGGGAAGGTGGGGGTAATAAATTAAATCTTTAAACGCTACAAGTGGGAAATCAGAATAAAACATGCACGTTTTTTAATAAGAAAAACGGATTTCTTCCATCTAAAATAAACAAAATGTTCTTTGCAAACACCAATAACTTTCATGTAAAAAGAAAACGTTGCAACATACCTATCATCCGAAAATTACCATTCAATATCACCCCAGTGCTGATCGGTCCTTTCTAATATTCCTATAATTATCTAAAAGAATATAAATCCTTGCATTGTCTTCTCATTGCCTCGCCGTTAAAACCTTTCCCAAACACGACCGCTGGATTGAACTTTAGATGTGTTCTGATCTTATTATCACTTTTATAGTTTCTTTTTTTTTCAAATAACAGCTCAGTATATTTATTCAACTTATTCAGAACCCATAAAAAATGTTAACAAAAACCTATCCACAGACAGCGCGCTTCATTTCTTTCAAGGTTGGATAGTTAAAAAAGACACCATAGAATAATACTGCAAACATGCTTAGCAGACACCTGCTTTTAACAACCAACGAAACATTTGAAGTAAATACACAAATGTAATTTTAACGGAATTTGAGAAAAAGTCAAATATTTCAAGTCAAAAAAGGGAAATATAACAAAAGTCGGGTTTCCTGATTATCTGCCCGTAGAAACGCATCTTAAATTTGGAAGTGAACACGATCTTTTAAAAAAATCTACGTTTGAAGTTGATTTATTTTGACAATTTTTGAGAAAATGACTTGAGAATCAAAGCATTAAGTAAAAAGAGGCAAACTTTGCAAAAAAATAATTTTAGGATTATCTGCCCTTCTTAATTAAATGGTGTCATTTTATGATTGAGAATGTGAATATCAAGTTCTTTCTGAAAGAGAGGGTCGTGACAAAAGCTTCAATTTTTTCTCTTTACAACGAGTAGCTGAAGACTTTTACTGACATACTGTAAGTGGTAAAATGGTGATTATCATGGCATTGTCTATGAAACATGTTTTAGATATTATTGTTATTTATAACACATTTACAGATAATTGTTATCTATACTATATTCGTTTTTATAATATTGATAGATACGGTAGAATTGATAGAAGGTTTGGTGGGATGATATTACTATTGACTTTGAGATCATGTTTTACTGTCAGTTTTGACAGATAACCGACACATTTGAAGTTTTAAAATGTTGCCATATATGATTGTCGTCTACAATATAAGATCAGTGTTGTTGGTAACATCCTACATATAGAAATTATATAGTCGTAGGAATTATCAATTTATTTCAAATGAGTTTTATAATGTTACAAGACATAGTGTTTTAGTTAGACATAATTGATACATACATACCAAGTTGTTGTTAATATGTTATTAGATATGCAGCTCGTACATATAATTAAACAAATCGAGACTGAGAGTTTCGGTGTCCCGATAGGGACATCGCGACACACAAGAAAATCGAAACAACAAACACACGAAATTTCAATGGTAAGATGATATAAAGTCGAAAAAGCCGAAACAGCGAAAGTACGATGATGAAAACTCGATATAATTTCTTATTATCACCATCGTATTTCCGATCGTTCACCATAGGGACTTTCTTGTTTCAATATTTCGAATTTTCTGCATTAACTTTCGACTTTTCATCATCGTATTGTTGACTTTTCACCATCGTTGTTCTCTTATTGGGACTTTTCATCATCGTGGTTCCGACATTTCACCATCGCACATAAATGTTTTTTTACACTAACTGTATGATATTTTGAAATTGAACCAGAATACACTTATAGAAAACTACTTTTGAAAATGCAAACGCGTATGCCTAGCATTTTTGACTTTATCCTTGTGCTACAAATAATATGACTCTGAATCCAATCTTTAAATTCCATTACAGTAAAATATGCTAGACAAACACTTTCGCATTTCCAAAACTAATTTTCAAAAGGAACACATCGCTCTCAGTTGAAAGATTAACAACACACTCTGACAAATAATATCTATATAAAAAGTTACCTACAGTAAAGTAGAAAACGCCTATGTTTTAATGTATTGACGCAGGCTTTGGCTGTAAACTTAGTCGTACATGGACAAACAAAACCGATATGCATTTTGTCAACAACAGATAAGTTGTCAAAATTATTATCAATTGTTTTACAGGCTCAAATAGGTTTAACGTTGTATCTGTGTATATGTAGGTTTCAACACCTCGGACCCCATTTTAAGATGGCCTTTTGTTAAGTTTCGCCCGATTTTTTTTCTCGTTTAGGGCACACGGGTTCTTTCTTAAAGCCATTCTTCACAATTCTTTACGTTTTGTTCTTAGCCTATGTTTATTTTTACCATTATCTGACATTGATGGCACTCGTTCTAGTGATTGTTTCCATTTATCAATTTTTAGATGAATTTATTTTTCAATATCTCTTACATCAGTGTAATTTGAGCCGTTTGGCGGCTTTAAAAAATTTCCCCGTAAATTTAATCAAAGATGTTATATTTTCGATCCTTGAAGGTCGTTCAGCACGACATAATTGTTGTGTTTACATGTTATGTGGTATTTTTGGTTTCTTCTATTTGGACTATTCAACTTGGGTGGTTCCAGTATTCCAACTTGAATACTGTCTAATCACCCTTAGGAGTTGTTGCCTGCTTTTTAAATTGTCTTTTGACGTCTTATCTTTGATATGCAGGCTTCATAGCCTCAGATCCCCTTTCAAAATTCCATTCTATTTAGTTCCGCCCATTGTTTTCTCGTTTAGGGCACACGCATTTTTAATAGGAGACCTTACGCCGCTTTTCATGAATGGCACTTCTGTGTCACATTGAAGTGTCCATGATTACCGCCGTATGAACACATCTGCGGATGTTTCTAAATTCAAAATTTTATCATTTTCGTGTTAAATGTTGAATTCTGCTTAAGCCGGTGCTAGGGGGGCGTGGACGGTAACTTGCACTTTCTAGTACCGTCCTTGAACAGCCTCATTCAAACTGAGCCTGCAACATTTTCAATTTTGCCGTGTTGGGCTTTCTTTAGGGATTCTGTTTTTCTCTATTTTAGTATTTACTCTATATGCATAAAACAAATCTGGTCTCTGTTGAGCATTTTTCTAATAAGGAAAATACTGTTCCTACACTTAATTCTACTTGTTTGTTTGTTGTTTTTTTTTTTTGGGGGGGGGGGGGTTACGTCACATCGACCCAGTATAGGTCATATCGCGACGTTCAAGCTTTACTGGTGGAGGAAGACCTCAGGTGCACTTCCGTGCATTATTTCAGGCACGAACGGGCACCTGAGTAGAACCACCGACGTTCCGTAAGCTAGCTGG